GCCTGTGGTTATTTCGACGAATACCCACTTCGCAAGTATATTCCCGTGCATACTTACGAATTATAAAGAACAAAGTTATGTTTCAAAGCAATCTGGTGCACATCTTCTTGCAAATCTTTCTTTGTTTCGAATAGTTACTCGGTATATAAAACTTCGTCATCAAGAATTAACTGTGAACAATTAGTGGACCGTGTACTCGGTCCAGCCTATAAGCTCTCACCCGACTCCTGTCTCCGGAGGGATAGAGCATTCAAATCCTCATTTGTAAACGCATTTTTATTCTTGTTGTCTTCAACCGTCGAGAAAATTCTGTACGTAACAGTGAGATCATTCACTATATTGGGAACAACTGTATCAACAATAACCACATTGTCTTCATTAGTTATCTCCACTGTATCCCAAAAATCATTCATATTACAATCCCCTCCATCGAAATCTTTGTGCTCACCCTCGGGGACGTTCTTCTCCACCAAAGTTACACAAATAGAAATCAAATATTTCTAGTTTAATTCAATTAAAATCTGCATTTCAGCGTCAAAAGTAACCGTTATAGGTGAAATTTTCTTGAGGAATAGAAATCCTAATTCCATGTTGAATTGAGAGGGATCGACTTCGAGCGAGTTCTGTAACTCATTGTATATTTCTGCATACAAAATACTTGATGTTATCAGAGTTGCAATATAATCGCATCTTTCACTCGTCCATTTCCACACCCATCGGTCATTTTTCTTCATTTCAAATTCACTAAAGTAACAAATTGGGACTGTAGCCGATGCCATATCTACATTAAGAAATGACAATTTATTAAAAAAAATGTAAATACATGGAATAAAGAAGTAAAAAATTGAAAACAGCCGACGTCAATTTGGTTTTTAGATTTTGCAGTGAATTTTTTTCATCGTTCTTGCTAAAAAAATTATAGATATATTTAAGACTATTAAAATTTATCTGCCTATCTCGAAATAAGATTTAAAGATTCAAACAATATACTGATTTAGCTATAATAAAATTAAAAATAAGTAAAATATACTTACAATTTCGAGTGATGGGTGTGAAAAATATTTTCTTGTTGAGCTTTTGATAATTTTGTGAGATCTCAATGTTGAAGTGGATGAAAATTGAACTTTCTTTTTATTCATGTTGCTCAAACTGTTTTGGTTTTGAAATTTACGTGGAGTGTTTTTAATTATTTTTTATTTACAATGGGGTACTATTATCTTTTTAACAACTATATATTTTTGTAATTACAAAACGTAAAAAAGGCAAAACTGTCATTTACATTTCAAAGGGCCATTGTGGTAAATGTGAAAAATGATTGGTCAATGTGGCAAAGTGTTTATTTGACTTGGGTAATTTGAAAAGTACCCCTACCCTAAATCTAGTAAACCTATGAACAAATTTTGAGAAATCTTGATTGTAATTTACAACTGGAAACCTTGTGTAGGTTGCCTTTGATTTCTATTCCCATCCATATTGCTTATGATGATCAATGCTATAGACCACCACTCTAATTTGCAAACTCTTGACACTCGCTCAATATTTTTCCCTTAACTGTGATAAGTTATATGAAATTAACTTGGTGTTGTCTCTGCATGTACTTTAATATGCTATACAATATTTGATATCCACTGATCTTGTGATTAAGAAGTGTTCCAAATTGAACCTTGACCTAAGAACCTGATTTTCATGAAATCTTGATAAATTTGGACATTTGCTAATCATTGTTTACATTGTAATCCTATAATCTTACATCATCATCCATATCACTTTGTGTTCTTGAATTAATATATTGAGTACTTCATTTAGTATATGCTGTATATTGCTTTGATAATTCTTTGTTTGAATTTTAAAATTGAACCTCATATTTGTTATTTTCTATTAGCTTGCAAAACTTGTTTGTTCCAAAATTTTTTCAAGTGGGCTTGTCATTTATCAAAGAAATTCATTTTGTGTTTAAATTATTTTTAAAAAATTATTGGAACTACTTTTGAACATTGGGTTTTCAATGGGAAGAGTGATTTTCCCATTTAGTAACAAACAATTAGAGGACTCTTGTACTAGGGAAAAAAAAGTTTCTAAAGGAATAACTTGACAATTTTCTGATATGATGATTGCTGACCAAAAAAATGAAGCTGATGAACTTGCCTATACTTTTATCATATTGCATTTGTCAAATCAAATATTAAGAAAAAGTAAGGAAATTAGACACTACTAAAGCCATGTGGGATAAATTGAAAGAACTATTTTTTCATTAAATCTTTACCAAACAAATTGTTTCTCTTGGAAAGATTTTTTAGGTTTTTTAAAGATTCTTCTAACAAATTAGATGATAACTTTGATACCTTCAATAAGTTAGTACAAGACATTACTACTACTGGTGATAAGGTGTTTGAGAAGTACAAAGCAATTATGCCCCTTAATATCATTTTTGAGGCTAGAGAGGTCGGGATTGTCATCAAATTTGGTAGAGATTCTAACTCTTAATGTTCTCATCAGTTCCTTATGGAGCAAAGAGTTGTAACTTCAATCTAATAAACACGATAGTAATTATAAGAGCATGTTTGTTAGAGGCATACCATAGAATAGGCAAAATGATAATCAAGATAGTCATAGTAACCAGGGAAGCAGTAATAATAAGAAGAAGAATAGGTGGAGATCTAGATCCTAGTCTAAGGTTAAGTATAAAAAAATGATATGTGTGTGAAAAAAGTGGTCACTTTATAAAAGATTGTTACAAAAAGAAAAAAATGAACAAAAAGAAAAATTGATTGATGAATGGAATGTATTTGAACCTTTTGAGACTAACAATGTTGATGTTTATGTCGTGATCGAGCTAGTTTTTTACTTGGGATCAGCTAATGTTGCTAGGAATTGTGATCAAATCCAACAATGGATCTTGGTTGCACTTTCCACATGACTTCTAGGAGCTGGATAGCAAATTTTAGAAAAATTAACGGAGGTGAAGTGGTAATGGTGAATAATGTTGCCCGCAAGTTTGAAGAGATAGGTAATGTGATATTGAATTTTGAAAATTGCTATATTTATATTCTTGAGAGGGTTAGATGTGTTTCTAATTTAAACAGATACCTAATTTCATTGGAGAATTTAGATGACATAGAATTACAAGGTAAGCTAGAAAATGACATGTTAAAAGTCTTGAGTAGATCTTGATTAGTGTCTAAAAGTGCTTCAAAGATATATCATTTACAAGGCATTTTACATTCACTTTGTTTAAAAACACTAATGTTAGTCTCTAATTTCAATTTGCATGCCGTAAATTCAATTTCCATAAATACATGGTTAAAATGTAATTAATTGAAATACGTATTTACATACATGTCGGCATGAATATTATACATTTGAAAGAGTATTTATTTGATGTATTTCACATGTATTTCCAATTTAGAACAAGTGGAGCAAGTGGAGGAAAAAATGTTGAAAAGTCAAGAATAGTAAACTGTCTCAAGCAAGAAGTAGCTGTTGGTAAAATGATCATAACTTGAGTTGCAGACATTGAACCAAGGTGATGCAAGTTGGATTGGAAAGATAAGACATGTATCTACAACTTTCATGTTTTGTAAGAAGTCAAATTCATATCAAAAGGTAGCCAAACTTACCGTGCAAAGTCCAGCCTGTTACTTGCTGGATACAGCTTTTTTGCCTGTGAAGCAGCACTTATTGTTTTTGTTATATCTAGAGTTATATAGATTTAATGAACCTGATATTTACACCATGGAAAGCTAAATCAAGTGATAATAATTTATTTGTTGATCATAAGTTAAATTCGCTGCACAAAGTATCTGAAAATTAGCATCAAGTTGCATGTTCCAGCTGTCTTGAAGCTGGACAGAAACAAGTTGCATTGTCCACTTGCATTTTGGATGTTCCTTTGCCTATAAAGGGGGACCTTGGCCATGATTTTGAGGAAATCAATTCCTCCCCATCATATTCTAGTTTCCTTCATTTTCCTTGTAGCATTTCATTATGTATTTCTAAACCATTAGCTAGAGCTAGGGGTGAAACTTTGGTGAATGCATAGTATTGTCTTTGATCTTTCATTTTGTTCTTCAATGTTCATCTTCTTACTTGGTTGAAGTAGATATTCTACAAATGGTTTTGGTTTGTTAAAGACTTTGATTTATTGTTGACAATTTTGGCATAATAAATGCTTAGATAATCTCTACATACCAGCAACTTATTTTGACATATTTTTTCAAACAACTTTCAAGATCTATCTTTTAGTATATTTGCGATCAATGTTTTATCTTCCATATGAGATCATTCCTTAGTTGATTTCCATATGAGTTAAATAAAAGATCAAGAGTAATTCTACTCATTTATTCGAAGTGAATCCCTAACGCTCTAGTGTTCTTCTCCATCGTATTTCCACCTACCGTTTACCACTCATAGAATAGTTTATCTCCTTTCAATTCCCTGTGGTTCGACCTCGGATTTCCAAGTTTACTACTTGTGACAACCTGCACTTGGGTTTGCAACCTTAAAGTTGTAGCAAGTTTCTGGCGCCGTTGCCGGGGATTTGCGTCAAGGATTATTTTCCGCTACTTTCTGTGAGGTTTTCTTCTCTTTCATAATCTTCATAAATCAGGTACACTCATTCCTTTTTAAATCTTATTACTTTAGTTATTTTACTTTAAAGGAAGGCCGAGCCTCCTTCGTTTTTTATTTTTTGTTTATTTTCTTTCTTTAAAGGGAAGGCCAAGCCTCCTGATCTGTCGTTTCTTTATTGTATGGTTGGCTATGCCACCTAATTTTTGTTCTTTACATCATTACATGGTTGGCCGTGCCACCTAATTTTTGTTCTTTACATCTATTTTATGTCATATTGGTATCATGAATTTAATTCTCATAGTCTAGTTAAAGATAATTGTGAAACTTTCTTTAGTAATTTATTTGACTCACCTCAACACTCATTCACATCTTCCACCATGGCTGATAATAAAAGCGTACATGATGAAAATGAAAACCAACAAGCACGAACCATGCGTGATTACTTGCAACCTCCTCGAAATTCTGCTCCTTCATGTTTCATTTTCCCTCTTAATGTTAATAATTTTTTATTCAAGCCAGGTATGATTCCTATACTTCCTAATTTTCATGGCTTAGAATTCGAAAGTCCATATTTGCATCTTAAAGAATTTGAGGAAGTATGTGCCACATTTAACGACCAAACTTGTCCCGATGAAATTGTTAAGTTGAAATTGTTTCCTTTTTCTCTAAAGATAAAGCAAAAAATTGGCTTAACTCGTTAAAACCTAGGTTTATTGGCACATGGCAAGAAATGCAAAGTGATTTTTTGAAGAAATTCTTTCCAACACAAAAAACTAATGCTTTGAAAAGACAAATCCAAAATTTTTCTCAAAAAAACCAATGAAGCGTACTTTCAATGTTTAGAAAGATTTAAAGATTTGTTAAATACATGCCCACATCATGGTTTTGAAAAATGGCGTACTATAAGTTTCTTTTATGAGGGCCTAGCTCCCGAGATAAACCAATTCGTAGAAACGATGTGCAATGGTAAATTTTTAAATAAAGATCCAGATGAAGCTTTAGAATTTCTAGATCATCTAGCTGAAAATTCTCAATCTTGGCAAATAGTAAAACCTATTGAAAACTCAATCAGATCTAGTCTTGCTAGTTCTAGTGGAAGAAAATATCAATTGAGTCAAGATGATGATCTAAATGCTAGGATTGCTAGTTTGTCTGGAAAGGTTGAAGCTATGGAATTAAGGAAAGTAAAGGAAGTTAAACCCGTGCAAACTGATGAAATTTGTAGCATTTGTGAAACTTTTGGCCATCTTACGCATGATTGTCCTAACATCCCAGTTTTCAAAGAAGTTTTACATGATCAAGCCAATGCTATGAATACTTTCAAAAAGCCTTTTCCTTATCCTTACTCAAAAACATATAATCAACAATGGAGAAATCATCCAAGCTTTAGTTGGAAAGATGATAATTGTGTTCATCTATCACAACCTCAAGTGCTTTCAAAATTTCCTTCTTTTCCATCACCACAATCAAAGACTCTTGAGGAAACATTGCAGTCTTTTATGCAAGGACAAGCAAATATTAATAATCAAACTTCACAAGCCATCAGTGAAATCAAGAGCACACTTTCTTCATTGACCTCTTCTTTGCGTTCTCAAGAGAAAGGTAAATTTCCTGGTCAACCTCAACCAAATCCTTCTGGGCAATTTAATGTAAATGCTTCTAGTTCCTCTGAAAGTCAACAAGAAAATGCCAACTCCATTACGACTCTTCGTAGTGGAAAAATTATTGACAAAACCATCCCTTTAAAAGAACTAAAATCGGGTGGGACTTCAAAGCAAGAAAATGATGTTTCCAAAAGTGAGGAAAAAATCATTTCTGAACCTAGTACTGAAAAATGTCCCCTTCCAGGTCCATTTCCTCAACGATTGCAATCAATTTCAAAACTCAACCATAATTCTGAAATTTTTAACTTTTCAAACAAGTCAAAATTAACATACCATTATTGGTGCAATCAAACAAGTTCCTTCATATGCAAAATTTTTAAAAGACTTGTGCACTGGCAAGAGGAAACTTAATGTTCAACAGAAAGCATTTTTTGACAAAGAATGTAAGCTCAATCATTCAACAAAACACTCCACCTAAATTCAAAGATCCTGGTTTTCCAACAATTTCTTGTGTGATTGGGAATAATAGGATAGAGCGTGCTTTGCTTGATCTTGGTGCTCGTATTAATATATTACCTTTTTCTGTGTATGAGCAACTTGGTTTTGGAGAGCTTAAACAAACAGCAACAATACTTCAACTTGTTGATCGTTCAGTAAAAGTTCCAATAGGGGTTGTAGAGGATGTTCTAGTTCAAATTGATAAATTCTATTATCCTATTGATTTTATAGTTTTGGACACACATCCTGTTTTAAATTCAAATGCACAAACACCTGTCATTTTAGGACGTCCCTTTCTTGCTACTTCAAATGCTAATATAAATTGTAGAAATGGTATCTTGAAACTCTCTTTTGGAAATATGATCGTGGAAATGAATATTTTTAACATTTGATTTTATTGAACAACTTGTTGATGATCAGTTTATTGCTACATCTTCACCTGATGCGCTAGAATTTGAATTTAACGATAATTCTACAAGTTCACATATAATTTCTTTGTTGAATTCTTTTCAGGAGAAAAAGACAAGTGATTGGAAATCAAAGTTTTAAAAATTTTCACAACAATCCAATATGTCCATGATTTCAAGTGTTCAAGGGCCAAAGCTCGATTTGAAACCATTTTTTGAGAATTTCTCTAGATTGGAAGAGTCCGTTGCTTTACATGATTCTAAAGATTGATATCATTTTCTCTTTATTTTATTTTGTATGTTTTTTTTTTCAGTTTTATAATGTTATGTGTTTGTTTTAGGTGTGTTTCTTTTATTGTCATTTTTTTCACTAATGAAATTGAAGGTTCATTTAGGCTAAGTTTATGCAGACTTTCCAGGTAAAGCTCAAAACCCGTCCCTTTGTTCTAAATTTTGCTCCTTACTGTTCTTCATATATTTTGCACATTTAATCTTTACATTGAGGACAATGTTTCATTTAGGTTGGGGGGAAGGAATTAAAAAAGTTCAAAAAAAAATAATAATAATAGTTCTTGTCGACCGATGATGATACTATTTGAAGTTGTTTTTATGTTATGAATTGTGAATAGGGGATGCTGCTTTGATTTAGTTGAAGCTTGTTCATGTTAGATTGATTTACATTGAGCACGATAATCATGAAAACCACATATTATTTAGTTGGATCAATGGATAGAATATGTGAATTCACTATGAGCAAAATAAAAAAAAATTCCTACTCTAGGATAGTTTGGGGTGGTCGAGCTGTTGAAGGGAGACATTGAGATAGATGTGGATTCCATGTGTGCTAAATTTTGTGTGGATTGCTTAAGACCAATGAGATGATAATTAGGTGAAATCTTAAGTTAAAGATCGATTTTCGAGAATAAGTGTTTAATGAGGGGCATTGCACTAATCATTCCATAGAAGGGAAAAAGCTGCCATGTTGTGAAGCTACCCTAAAAGAGCCCAATGAGGACAATTACATACATAAATAGAGATCAGGCTAGTGCGTGAAATAGAATACGCACGACAAACTTGAAAAAAAAACAGGTGTGCATGAAACAGAAGACGCACTACATGCCTTGATTAAGTTCAAACACTTATTTTAGAGAATTAGATCTTTGATAAGGGATTAGTAGCTTAACTGATTCTTGGAGGTTGAATTAGTCAAAATTAAGGAGAATCCTCATTTATTGATGTGCTGAGCTACATTTAGTAAAATCTAATCAAACTAGAGAGGGTGAGTAATAGTTTATAAATTTAACCATAAATCACACCTTGGGAAAATAGTTACAGAATCAAGTTTGAGGGTGTGTATCCCACGAGAGAAGAGAAAAATAATTGATCATTGAGGGTCGGGATGAGTCTAATTTGAAAAAAAGGTATGTGATTGAATTGATTATGCACACATACACGTTGGTCGAGCATTGGGCAAAAATTATATTTTGATAGCAAACCTTAGAAGAGTTTTGATAAATAGTTTCAAATCCTAAGGCAAATATGACAAGCTATTTCATTTGAACTATTTTTGAATTTTTATTACTAGAGACTAGCAATATCTTGCTTGGGGAGTGTGATTAGTGTCTAAAAGTGCTTCAAAGATATATAATTTACAAGGCATTTTACATTCACTTTGTTTAAAAGCACTAATATTAGTCTCTAATTTCAATTCTCTTGCCGTAAATTCAATTTCCATAAATACATGGTCAAAATGCAATTAATTGAAATAATTATTTACATACATGTCAGCATGAGTATTATACATTTGAAAGAGTATTTATTTGATGTATTTCACATGTATTTCCAATTTAGAACAAGTGGAGCAAGTGGAGGGAAAAAATGTTGAAAAGTCAAGAATAGTAAATTGTCTCAAGCAAGATGCAGTTGTCGGTAAAATGATCATAACTTGAACTATAGACATTGAACCAAGGTGATGCAAGTTGGATTGGAAAGATAAGACATGTATCTACAACTTTCATGTTTTGTAAGAAGTCAAATTCGTATCACAAGGTAGCCAAACTTACCATGCAACGTCCACCTTGTTACTTGTCGGATACAGCTTTTTTGCCTGTGATGCAGTACTCATTGTTTTTGTCACATCTGGAGTTATATAGATCCAATGAACCTGATATTTGTACCATTGGAAATCTAACTCAAGTGGAAATAATTTATCTGTTGATCATAAGTTAAATTCCCTGCATAAAGTATCTAAAAATTGGTATCAAGTTGCATGTTCCAATTGTCTTGAAGCTGGACAGAAACAAGTTGTATTGTCCACTTACATTTTGGATGTTCCTTTGCCTATAAAAGGGGACCTTGGCTATGATTTTGATGGAATCAATTCCTCTCCATCATAATCTAGTTTCCTTCATTTTCTTTGTAGCATTTCATTATGTATTTCTAAACCATTAGCTAGAGCTAGGGGTGAAACTTTGGTGAATGCATAATGTTGTCTTTGATCTTTCATTTTGTTCTTTAATGTTCATCTTCTTACTTGGTTGAAGTATATGTTCTACAAATGGTTTTGGTTTGTTAAAGACGTTGATTTATTGTTGAGAATTTTGGCACAATGAATGCTTAGATAATCTCTACATACTAACAACTTATTTTGACATATTCTCTCAAACAACTTTCAAGATCTATCTTTTAGTATATTTGCGATCAATGTTTTATCTTCCATAGGAGATCACTCCTTAGTTGATTTCCATATGAGTTAAATAAAAGATCAGGAGTAATTCTACTCATTTATTCGAAGTGAATCCCCAACGCTCTCGTGTTCTTCTCCATCGTATTTCCACCTACCATTTACCACTCATAGAATAGTTTATCTCCTTCCAATTCCCTGTGGTTCGACCTCGGACTTCCGAGTTTACTACTTGTGACAACCTGCACTTGGGTTTGCAACTTTAAAGTTGTAGCAGATCTTGTCATTTTCAAGGGTATTAAGAAAAATGGGATTTATGTTACTAAAGTTGAAGCTGTTATAGATCACATTGTCGATGCCTTTAAAGCTGAGATTGATGCTACTTTAAAGTGGCAAAATAGGTTGTCTCATGTCAGTGAAAAAGGTCCCGTTGATTCTTGACATGCAAGGATGTTTGGGAAGGATTCCATCTTAAAAGTTTCTTTCTGTGAACATTGTACATTAGGCAAGCAACATAGACTCCACTTTAATACAAGGAAGCATATATCCAATTCAATTTTATAATATATACAATTTGACCTTTATGGACCTTCATCCACCATCACTTAAGGGAACAATAAATATTTTCTCTCTTTGATTAATGATTTGATTTTCTTATTAAAAATGAAGGTCTGACATTTTTTGGGAATTTTAAATCCAAGAAGATTTTGATAGAAAATTAAACTCATAAGAAGATTAAAATTTTAAGGATTGATAATGTCCTAGGGTTCTGTTATTTCGATTTTGATCAATTTTTCAAGTAGAATGAGACTATAAGATACAAAATGGTTTTTTATACACCTAAAAAAAGGGAGATTGCTGAGAGGATGATATGATCCTTCTAAATAAAGTTAGATGCATGATGGTTAGTTAAGGGGTCCTAAGGCTTTTTGGGGAAAAGCGGCATTGACATTTTCTTATATTGTTAACATGACTCCTCTAGTTCTTTAGAAGGAAAAACACCTAAAGAGGCGCCGATCGATAATCCTACAGACTACTCTTTGATGAGAACTTTTGGTTGTGCAGCTGTTTCTCATCAAAGTATAGGAAAACTTGAACTAAGATCTCAGAATTGTGTGTTTCTAGGTTATCTTGAAAGGGTTAAAGGGTATAGATTATGGGCAAGGAGTTTATGAGGTTTTAAACTCTTAATCAGTAGAGATTTGGTTTTCAATGAGTCTGAAGTGCATTGTCTAAGTTAAAAGAACATAGAAATGACTTAGGAGAAATTGGTGTTGATAAAACCAAGCTATAGGTGGAACTTAGCTATCACATAATACTGTTAATAGCAGAGGGAATCATAACTTGTATCTGATTCTATTGAAATCGGGGGAATTGAAGTTCAAATTCAAAGTGAAGAAGGGATCCAGCAACTAGTATTAGGAGATTACCAATTAACTAGAGATAGAACTATGAGGGAAATAAGAGAGCTATCTAGATGTAGAGATTTTTTGTCCCTTGCTATTCTCTATTATTAATCTTTAAAGAGCTAAAATCGTATGATAAAGCTGTTACTAATAAGAAGTCTAACAAACGGTATATTCCCATGAATGAGGACTATCTTGTGTAGACTGTAAATGAATTTTTAGTATTAAAGAAGGCAATTATGAGGAAAAACCACTTAGGTTTAGGGCTAGACTACTGACAAAAGTTTTTACTAAAAAATAAGTGTTAATCATAATGTAATATTTTCTCCTAATGTGAAATATACTACAATAAGAGTAATACAAGTTGCTCACTATTATCTTGAACTTGGACGAATGGATATTAAAACTACATTTTTTCTTAGGGATCTTGATGAAGTTATCTATATGAATTAGCCTCAGGGTTGTATCGATAAAGAAAACTTTGATCATGTATGCTTGCTCAAAAGATCTTTATATACTGTCTTAAACAATCTCCTAGTTAGTAGTACAAAGGTTTGATAATTTTATGATTATTGTTGGTTTTATAAGAAGGGAATTTGATCATTATGTGTATTTTAAAAAGAAAGTTGATAATAACGTGATTATTTATCGTCGACTGTATGTGGACAATGTGCTATTAATTGGTGATAACATAAGTAATATAAACAAGATAAAAAGAATCTTTGAGTAGTGAATTTTAAATGAAAGATTTAGGATATACTAAAAGTATTATATGAATGGATATTGTTAGAAATAGAATCAAACATTTATTAATTTTGGCAACATACTTCATATGTTGAAAAAGTGTTACCAAATTTTTTCTATGCATGATGTTACCCATGTTATAAGTACTTTGAGTATATTTTTAGATTCTGACTTTGGTGGTAGTAGGGACAATTGAAAAACCACTATTGCATACATTGTTACTTTGTGTAGAACCTGTGTAAGTTGAAAATTCCAATTTTAATCTATTATTGCCTAATCTACTACTGAAGCAAAATATGTGACTGCTATAGAAGCCAAAAAGAAAGCTTTATGGTTTAAATGTTAGTCATGTAAAATAAATAAACCATCTAATCCTGTAGTAGTGCATTCTGACAGTTAAAATGCCATTCATCTATGCAAGAATCCTGTTTTTCATGAAAGACCCAAACATATTGATGTAAAGCTGCATTTCATTAGGGATATAGTTGCAAAAGAATCTGTATTGCTTGAGAAAATTCCTATTGAATTTAACACATCTGATAGAGGTACAAAGATATGTCATCTTGACAAGTATAGATCCAATTTAAATTATTTAACCTTGATACTATTTTAACATGATTGATTGCATGTACTTATTAGTGTTGCTGATCATGTTACAAGATACGGGTTATTGGATTGAAGTGTCTGTCTTGTACTTTATCATGTGATGCCATGGGTACCAAGGTGGAGACATGTTGGGTTGTGATGTCAAATCTAGCCTATTAGGCTTGATGTGATTTGGAGAAGTTTTATTTTGGTCAAATTTCTTATTTTTGGTAATTTAGATATTTTAGAAC